CTGGACCAGCTGGGCTGGGCCGCCCGGGGCGCGGGCTCCAGCCCGGACTCCTCCACCAGCAGCTCCACCCCGCTGGAAGACGAGGAGCAGGACAGATCGGAGGCCGGAGAGGCTGAGGATGGTGAGCAGTCGGAGGGGCTGAGCCAGCGGCCGTCGGGGTGGGGGGGTGGGGTCTCCCCTCACACTCTCCTGTTGGAAAGCTCACGGCTGTGTGTTTTTCTGCTCCGCTCCTCCCTCAGAATTGGGCCTCCAACTCCGGCTGACACAGCCCTCGCCGCCCGAGGGCTGGGCACCCCAGCCCAGCCCCAGCTCTGGGACTTCCCGGGCGCACACTCCATCCCCAGCCCCATCCCGGGATTCGAACTCTTGGCGAGATGAGCCCTCGCTGGACCCGAAGGAAGAAGAGCCGTGGGGGCCGCTGGAACGGGAGCCAATCACGGGGCAGTGCCTCGATAGCACTGACCAATCCGAGTTCGCGTTCAAACCACACCTTCTAGGTAAGCCTGATACTGCGCCTGTGATTCACCGAGGCAGGGGGTGGGATTTAAAAACCTCAAGACTAAAATCAAACAAACAAACAAAAACCACTGCCAGCAAATCGATTCTGATTCATTACATTAAGGAAAAATAAACTCAAATTCATTGCCAGTGGGTTGATTTTGACTCATGAGACCTATAGGACGGTAGAACTGGCCCGAAAGATTTCCAAGACTGTAGCTCTTTCTAAGAGTAGAAAGCCAGAGCTTTCTCCCACAGAGTGGCTGGTGGTATTGAACTGCTGACCTTGTGGTTAGTAAACGCAGTGCATAACCAGGGACTCATCCTAAACTCTCTGATGGAGGCGAGGGAGGGGGGGATGCTGAACAGTCTAGGAGGTGATGTTATTGGCTAGACGGTATAGCCTGTCTTGTAAGGTCTCTGTGAGTTGAGACCCACATGTTAACAGTATGTTTGAGTTTCCTTGAATATTTATAAGTCAAATCTACCCCTTTTAAGAACTCGCCCTTTCCCTGACGTGGCCTAATAGGCCCCGCCTCCATTGGGAAAATGCTGTGTCCACGAAAGGCCAGGAGGCCAGATCTGGGCCTCGCAGCGCCAGTCGGTGTACAAAGAGAGCCCGCCCCAGTCGGGCGTGCCCCTTTCCTTCTGGACTGCCATAGGCTGGGTGCACATTGGCCCCGCCCTCTAGCCCCGCCCTCCGGGTGCCAGCGAAGTGGAAGGGGGGAAAAAATCCCAGAGAAACAGCGGCGGCCCGCAGCCTCTAGCTCTCTGCGAAGATGGGGACTACAGGTGGGCTTTCGGGGCAGCCTGGGAAGGGGGTCTGAAGGACCGAGGAAAGGTGCCTGGATTTGCTCTCATTTTGCCCCCAAATCCGGAGCATATTTCCTCTAGGTCCCCAGCTTCCTCAGAGCAGCAGGCTGGGGCTGGGAGGGGTGGGGAGGGGGGCGCTAAAGGGGTGTCTACGGTGGGTGCCAAGGGAGCTTAGGGTCCTCCCCTCCTCTGAGCTGGGACCTTGGGGCGTAGAAGCCGGAGACCCCTTCCCCCAGCCTCCGGCCCAGGCGGTGCTGTCACTCAGGGGCTCGACTGGCCGGCACAGCTGCGGGCGAGGCCCCCTCCCCCCCAACGTGCCTAAACTTAGTCCCCGCCTCAGGCGACCTGGCCCTTCCCCCACCCCGCTGGCCCTGGCCTTGGGGAGCCTGGTGGAGAGCGCCCTATGTGTGTGTGTGTTGGGAGACCCTGCTTAGAGGAGGGAGCAAGTCTGTCAGCGGAGAGGGGTGGAGACCAGGAGGGGGGATTAGTCAGGATGGGTGGTGGTGGTGGTGGTGGTGGCGTCTGGGTTTGGGCTGGAGCTGGGAGAATGGGGCACTGGGAAGGGCCTGAGTGAGCCCCCCCGGGGCTCAGGTTTTCATCTCACTGCCATCGAGTCGATTCTGCTCATAGCGACCCTATAGGACAGGGTAGAAATGTTCCTGTGGGTTTCTGAGACTGTCACTCTTTCCAGGAGGAGGAAGCCTTTATCTTTCTCCCAGGAGCAGCTAGTGGCTTTGAACTGCTGACCTGTGGTTCACAGCAGAACCAGTAATCACTACACCGCCAGGGTTCCTCTTAAGCCTCAGCGTTTAGGGGACACAGAAAGGCAGTCAGGGAGGGTGGTGGTGTGACTCCTGTAGCTGCTGGCACTATTGTCCCTCCCTGCCAGCGAGTCGATGCTGGCTCATAGCAACCCCATAAGACAGGGTAGAACTACCCTTGAGGGGTTCTGAGACTGTGATTCTTTTTGTAAAAGATAACTCATTTTATTGGGGGCTCTCACAGCTCTGATAACAATCCATGCATCAATTGTATCAAGCACATATGTTGCCACCATCACTTTCAAAACCTTTTCTTTCTGCTTGAGACCTCTACCAGCTCCTCTTGTCCCCCCCCCCCCTCCGTGAACCATTGACAAATTATAAATTATTCTTATTTTCACATCTTACACCGTCACCCATGGTCCTGTTGTTCGTCCCCTTGGGGTGGGAGACTGTCATTCTTTTGCAGGAGTGGACAGCCTCATCTTTCTTCTGCAGCACTGCTGGAGTTTCAAACTGCTGACTTTGTGGTTAGCAGCCCGATGCATCACCACTACCCCTCCAGGGCTCTTAGTACCTTTACGTCTTCCAAAAAAGGGCATTGGGGTTGGGGAGGGGATCCCGGAGAAATCATCTTGCATGTAGCCCCCTGGTCAAAATTCTCAAAAGCACACCCTTTGTTGAGCAGGCTCTTGGGCAAAGAACATCTGGATGTGTTGCTTGTGGAAAGGGGAGTGGCTGGGGTCTTGCTACTGAGCAACTCGATAGCATTTCTTTCTGACATTCAAAAATCCATGCAACCTGTTGCCCCAGTGGGTCCCCCTCCTTCCCCCCCGCCCCCAGACTAGTTCAGAAATAGAACCTCTGGCAGGTGAGGCTACCTCCCAGGGTAAGATGCTGCTTACAGACCAGACATAAAGGAGGCAGAGAGAATGGCCCGGCGAGGGGGCTGGGGCTGGACAAGTGAATAGCCCCGAGAGGTGGTCCCTACCTTAAGGATGGGGAAGAGCAAGCTGGTTTTGACCATAAGCTGAATAAACCCCAAACCAACTCGCTGCCATCTAATTGATGTCTCGACTCACCATATAGCGACCGTATAGGACATGGTAGAACTGCCCCTGTGGGTTTCCAAGACGATGATTCTTTCCTGGGGTAGAGAGCCTCATCTTTCTCCCCCGGAGCAGGTGGTGATTTCTAACTGCTGACCTTTGAAGTTAGCAGCCCAAATATAATGACCGCCGTGCCGCTCCAGCTCCCAGGACTTGAGTACCCCCACCCCCACCCTTCAGTTCTCCATAGCCTTGCCTTTTATTCTCAGTGGATTGGCTGGGTCCTGGTGACCCTTCGGGTTAAGCACCAGGCTGCAGCTCAAAGGTCGGCGCTTTGACCCCATCAAAGCTCTGGCTGCCCTGTAGGAGAGAGACCAAACAACCTGTTTCCCGAAAGGTTTGCAGTCTCTGAGACCCACAGGGGCAGTTCGACTCTGTCCTCTGGGGTCACTGTAAGTCAGTGGTGGTAGTGGTGGGGGTGGGGAGGATGTCGGGTGTTTGTTTTTTTTTAAAATAAATTTGATTTGGCTTTGGGGATTGGAAACATTACATAGCATCGTGGGAAAAGTTACGGCCATTGATTCCATTCCGACTCGCAGCGACCCCAGAGGACAGAGCAGACTGCCTCTGTGGGTTTGCAAGGCTGTCAGTCTTCAAGAGGAGCAGACAACCTCGTCTTTCTCCTTGGGAGCGGCTCATGGGTTTGAACTGCTGACCTTGCAGCTATCAGGCCAACAGGAACCGCTGCGCCCCCAGAGCTCCTTCAGACACTTACAGAGCTGTTTCCATCCGGCAACTACAGGCTGAAACATATCCGCAGCCGTAAGGCTGGTGCAGCCCTGGGAGGGGCGACATTCTGTGGGACACAGGGTCGCCATGCGTGGGAACCGATTCCCCGGAACCCCACCACCACCACAGCATAAAATAGCAATAAAATGGATAAGCCTAAGTGCAGTTTGTTGTGACATGACTTCATTGTAAGTCGGAACTCGTGGGCAAAGTGGAGAGAGATTAGCGTGATGTCCAAAGGTGTGTGTGTGTGTGTGTGTATATAAAATGTTTCCATTTTCACAATTAATTCTCAAAAGACATAGCTGTGTATGTGTGTGTCTATACATGAGGACAGGAAACAAGTTTAAGGAAAGAAACCCCCGTGACACAGAGGTTAAGCCCTTAACTGCTAACAGAAAGGTCGGCAGTTCAAACCTCCCCAGGGCTCTGCGATACCCAGACCTGGCAAGCTTGCTGGCTCCGAGATAGGAAACCTTATGGGGGCAATTCTACTCTGTTATGTGGAGCCGCTAGGAGTTGAAATCCGCATAACAGCATCTAACAACTACAACGTTTAAAGAGACTGGGTGGCTGGGGAGTGGGCTTGAGGAGGGAGGGGAAAAGGGACCTCTCATTTCCTGCCACCAAGCACATTCCGACTCATAGCGACCCCACAGGACAGGGTAGAAATGGCCCGGTGCGTTTCTGAGACGGTAACTCTGTGGGGACAGAAAGCCTGGCCCTTTCTCCTACAGAGCCGCTGGTGGCTTCGAACTCATGACCTTGTGGTTGGTTAGCAGGCCAACACCACCAGGGAGAAGTGGGCTGAGCATGTGGGGAAGAAGAAAGCAGGAGTTACTAAAAAGCTGGTCATTGGTTTAAGGCTCAGAAGTGTAGGTCAGGGGATAGGGATAGGAAAAGTGGCCCCGCCCCAGTTGAGGCCCCGCCCAGTTGAGGCCCCGCCCCCATTGGTGCCACGCCCCCTCTGCAGTGGCGGACCTGCTGTACTGGAAGGACGCGAGGTGGTCGGGAGCCGTCTTCACGGGCCTCATGGTCTCCCTGCTCTGCCTTCTGCACTTCAGCATCGTGTCGGTGGCCGCCCACGTGGCCCTGCTGCTGCTCTGCGGCACCATTTCTCTCAGGGTTTACCGCAAAATGCTGCAGGCCGTCAGCCGCGGGGACGGCGCCAACCCTTTCCAGTGAGCATGGACCTCCCCCGCTGGACCCTCCAGTCCCTACCCCCAACAGCATTGCCACCCCTGACCTCTCACCCCGGCCCTCCCGCTTCTGGATCCATTTCTCGGGCCCCAAGCGGACTTTGAACCGGCAGTTGTTAAACCTGACCCCCAGCCCTAACCTCTTATCCCTGGTCTCCTCCAACCCTGACATGGACCCCAACCCATTCCTTTGACGCGCGCCGCCCCCCCCCAATCCTGGCTCTGCTCGTGCACTCCCTGACCCTCCTCATTTCTTACCCTTGTCCCAGCCTGAGTTCTATGCACGGCCTGTGTGTGTCACTCTGTGGCCCCCGGTCCCCTTTTGTGCCCTCAGGGCCTACCTGGACGTGGACCTGACCCTGACCCTGGAGCAGACAGAGTGTCTGTCCCAGCAGATTGCCTCCCGCGTGGTCTCTGGGGCCAGGCACCTGCGGCATTTCTTCTTGGTCGAAGACTTCGTGGACTCCCTCAAGGTGCTACCCAAGCCCCCTCTGTTCCTTCCTGGGTTCCCCACATTCACCCCCATGCCCTGGAGGGTGGAGGGCTGGTTCCCCGCCTGCAGCCTGCCCTGTGGTCAGCGCTGATCCTGACCTTCACCCCCAGCTGGCCCTCCTGTTCTACATCCTGACCTATGTGGGCGCTGTCTTCAACGGTTTGACTCTTCTCATTCTGGGTGAGCTGGGAAAGCAGTGGGGGGCGATGGGGGGTGGGGTGCAGAGGAGAGAGGCAGGTTGTTGGGATTTGGTGGGGGACAGGCCTAAGGACAGAACTGTTTCATCTCCTGGCCTGACCCTTGCCCCTGACCCCCCCCCATCTCTCTGCCTGACCCTCATCTCTGCACTTGACCCCCCCATCTCTCTGCCTGACACCCTCCCCCATCTCTGTGTCCACAGGAGTGATCGCTTTATTCACTCTGCCCCTGCTGTACCGGCAGCACCAGGTGAGTGCCCTCCAACCTCCAACCTCACCTGTCAGAACCTCAGGCAAACCTGCCTGAGTCACTGAGCCAGAGACTAGGAGACTGCGTCCTTCCCAGCCCTGGACAGAGCCAGGTCTGCCCACACATGTCCCAGCCCTGGACAGAGCCAGGTCTGCCCACCTATGTCCCAGCCAGTCCCAAGTTGGCTGACCCCTGCCCCTCCTCGCTAGAGCTCGATTTAGACTCCCGGGGACCCCGGAGGTTACAGAGTAGACCCGCTCCCTAGGGTTTCCTGGGCTGTGATTTTTACGGAAGGTCAGCCAAAAAGAAGACCCTTCACGAGCAGGACTGACCCCGGGGCTGCAGCATCAGGCGGGCGCAGGAGCAGGCAGTGTTTCCATCTGTGGTTGCATGGGGTCACTATGAGTCAGAGCTGACTGGGCCACACTAATAACAACAGCAGCAACAACAATGGAAGTAGGTCACTGCATCTCTTCTTCCGATATCCTGTGGGGGTGGAGTGAGACCACCGATCTTGAGGTGAGCGGCTGAGCGCAAGAGAACTCAAAACCCACTGCTGGCCAGTGGGTTCTGACTCATAGGACCCCCCCTGGGACAGCGCAGACCTATCCCGTTGTGTCTCTGAGGCTGTGAGTCTTTAGGGGAGCAGGCAGCTTCAGCTTTCTCCCACAGAGCAGGTCTGGTGGGTTTGTGGTTGGCTGTCCCATGCTTAACCCACTGCACCACCAGACCTCCTTGTAACAGGGCTAGTGTCTAGCTAGCAAATACAAAAACTTCGAAAACCAAACCCACTGCCACCGAGTCTATGCCGACTCATACCGACCCTGTAGGGCGGGGTGGAACTGCTGTTTATGGGGGTAGAAAGCCCCATCTTTCGCCCTCTCAAGGAGCGGGCTGGTGAATTCGAACTGCTGACCTTGGGGATTGCAACCCAATGTGTAACCACTATGCCAGCAGGGCTCCTTGCTTGCAAATACAAGGGAGATTCAAAAAGAGGGTGGAAAACTGGGATTGAGAGATAATGGAACCTTTCTGAAGTCCCACTGTATATTTTGGGCGCCAGAGGAGGACATTCAGATTGTTGATCCTGGACAGAAGCAGGGTCAGCTGACATGCCCCAGCCCCTGGTAGTTGGGCTGAGTGACCCTCCAACGTGATGACAGGTCCAGGGTCTGGCTGTCACCTGAACCTGGTGCTGGACCACACTCTTCCTTGCTGGAAGCAGGCAGACAGACCAATGATCAGCCCACCCAACACCACCAGAGACTGGCAAACACAGATCTAGGTGCAGACAGACCAACAGACTCAGGCCATCGCTCCCTCAGCATAGCTTGGGCCTGACTGACACGTGTCGCAGCCAAAGACCAAGATCAGCATGCTGACTGCTGTGCACAACTTCCTGAAACAGCCCTTGGGGCAGGGTCACCTCTCAGCTGCGTGGGCAGGGTCACCTCTCAGCTGCATGGCACTCATCCCTCCCTGGACATACCCGCTGACATGCCCCTGCTCTGAGAACAAACGCTACAGACCCTACCCAGAGACACACCAGATCCCAAAACACAAACTCGCTCAAAGATGAATAGATGAATAGATCTTCCCAGTCCAGCCCTGCGCTGTAGAAATCTATTTGTCTGCCATCAATTCCAACCCATAAGCACCCTAGGAAGGCTTTCTGAGACTGAAAATCTCTACAGAGGCAGACAGACTCATCTTTCTCCCACAGAGCGGCTGGTGGGTTTGAACCACCAACCTTGTAGTTAGCCACCCAATGCCTAACCCATACCACCGCTAGAGCGCCTTATACCCTAGCAATAAAACTCAACAACAACAAAACAAACTCACTGCCAGTAAGTTGAGGTGGACTCCTAACGACCCTGTAGGACATGGTAGAAGTGTCCCTGTGGGTTTCAGGACTGTCACTCTTGGAAAGCTTCGTCTTTCTCCCAGGGGATGGCTGGTGGGTTCAAACTGCTGATCTTGCAAGTTAGCATCCCAACATGGAACCACTTCCGCCAGCGGCCTAACTCCTCTCGCCTGCCTGATTGAAACTCACAATGTGAACTAACATTGGGAAGCCCAGCCAACAAAGGGTTGTCGTTGAGTTGATTCTAGTTCATGCCCCTCCCCCTTATGTGTCAGAGTGGAATCATCCTCCGTAGGGGTGTCCAGGGCTTCTTTGGGGGATGGTAGATTGCTAGCCCTTTCTAAGGGTGGCCTCCAACCTCCCATCTTTGGGTTAGCAGCTGGGTGTGTTAATCATTTGCCCTCAAAGGAAGCCATTAAGCAAATAGGGATGATTAGAGTGTTAAACGAGTACTATTAATATCAGAAAGGACCCGTTTTTGGAGAAGGACAGCAGTGACAACAAGAGAAAGACCCTCAAGGAGATGGATTGACACAGTGGTTGCAACAAGAGGCGCCAACAGAGCCACCGTCGTGAGGGTGTCGCACAAGCTGACATTCTGTCGCTCGTGCATAAAGTCGCTATGAGCTAGGGTTGAGGTGATGGCACCCAGGACCAGCAGTCACCCAGTCACGGACTCACCTGACCAACACCTGTGTCCTCTACACCCACAAACACAAACTTGCTCAAAGATGAATAGATCTTCCCAGTCCAGCCCTGCGCTGTAGAAATCTATTTGTCTCACTGCATACATGCCTGTGGACTCAAAGCCTCGTAAAGCCTGTTTACTATATTACAAATTCAGCGTACATACAGTGTTTCGTAATAGCAAGGGGGCATCACTTTGCGACCTGCATCAAAACAGGATTGCTCCTGTATTATCATGTTGAAGATGTTTGAGGGTATCCAAAAACATTTCTTAACATTTTTATCCATAGAAAATGATTATTTAAAAAAAAATGATTATGGATATTTGACTAGCGGACAGTGACTCTACCTGACTCACATCTGATTTAAAGACGATTTAGGAACAGAACTTGCTCATAATCCAGGGACGCTGTCTAGACTAGGCCCAGCGGTTCTCAACCTTCCTAATGCCATGACCCTTTAATACAGTTCCTTGTGTTGTGGTGACCCCCCCCCTCCAACCATACAATTATTTTTGTTGCTCCTTCATAACTGTAATTTTGCTACTGTTATGAATTGGGCGATCCCTTTGAAAGGGTCGCAACCCACAGGTTGAGAACTGAAGGACTAGGGTGTTTCTACAACGTCCAAATCACAAAGCGTCCTATCCGTAGAGTATATTTGGACGTTGAGCGTGTGTGAAGTACACAGACTTGTTGGGAGGTCACTCTTCACGCCAACTCCGTGTGACCCAACCAGCTGACTCCATAAACCTGCACTTTTGATTCCCATTTTTATGTTTAGGGTTGAAAGTAAGTCGTAGTTTACTTCCCTAATTCCTGGTTCAGAGATGGGCGGCGGAGAGGAAGCAGCCTCCTGGAAGAATTAAAAAGAACTCCTTCCAATGCCTCCCTTCACCACTTTCTGGTCTTTCCAGGTCCAGATCGACCAGTATGTGGGGTTGGTGACAAATCAGTTGAGCCACATCAAAGCTAAGTAAGTTCAAGGGCTGGCGATGGAGGGAAGGGAAAGCTGGGGACCTTTTACTTAAACACTTCCTGGGCAACTTGGAGACCAGCATTCAAGGACTAGGGAACCCCACCTAACCTTGGCAGCTACTTTCCTTGGCAGATACTTTTCATGCCTGTGCTCAAGGCAGACATCACTAATCTATCTCCACACTCTTCCTGCTCCTTGAATAGCTCCTTCTCTGAGACTGGTTAGAGCCAAGTCCGTGGTGGGGAGGGGACACTGATCTGGCCTTCGGGCACTAGTTTCTCTTACCCACCTTTCCCTTCACTCTTAGATACCAACCCCTTTTATTGCTCCACCTCATGACCACACCCATTCCCCACCCCCACCCCCACCCCGCAGGATCCGAGCTAAGATCCCAGGGACCGGAGCCCTTGCCTCGGCAGCTGCTGCAGTTTCCGGATCCAAAGCCAAAGCCGAATGAGAAGGGGTGTCTCTGCCCGCGGACGCCTGCCCCTGCCCCTACCCCCAGCACCCGTTTCCCCCTTCCATGCCCAACCATATCCCCCTGGCTCCATTTCCCTGTGGTTGTCAGGATCGCCCATACCAGGGCGTTTGGGCAATTGACCTGAGCAACCGGGACTACGTTTCCCATGAGGCTCTGCTCTAAGAGTCTAGGAAAGCTAAGACACCGTGACCGTGTGGCCTGCTGGGACTTGTAGTTGTCTAGACAGGGTACCCACCCTGCACTAACACAAAACCGACAGTGGAGGCGCCCTGCGTGGTTGGTGTCTGGGATGCCACTGGTCCCTGTGCCGGGGCTTTGCATGGGGCCCAGAGGAGGCCTGAGCTTGGATTTACACCGTAATAAAGACTTCTGTGGAAAACCCAAAGCCGCCTGTGCTTCCAGTATTCTCCAGCTTCCACTTTTCCTGTACTGAAAAGCGTGTCAGTGACACCCAAAGGAGAAGCCGGTTCCATGATCTGGAATGATTGAGGGGAGTATGCTGACCACCCACTTGGGGCTAGCCCAGTTTATCCCGGGTAGTCACAAGCCCTGCCTGTGCTCAAAGCAGACATCACTAATCGATCCTTGCATTCTGCCTGTTGTACAGGTCTCCATGGAGCCCCAGACCCTCATGCCCAAGGGCCTTCTGGACAAATGAATTCCTTGCCATCTCCAAAACTCCTCACCCTTCATGACCCCTAACTCAGGGATACCCCAACTTTGTCGCAGGGTCAGAGAACTGGGTGTGGGCTTGGACTTCTTCTACTTCTTCACCCCTCACAGCCAATCAGTCACTGAACTCCTGTTCATTCTTCCCAAATGGGTCTCACCTAAATTTTGCCATCCCAATTGCATCATGGCCTTTCTGGGCCTCAGTTTACAAAGCTGTAAAGTGAGAGAGAGGAAGGCAGCAGGGAACACCACTAAAGTCCCACAGGCCCTAATTAAGTCCTAGCTCCATTGCCTGGCTGCTCTGTGACCTTCCTTGAACAAGTGACTTCACCTTTCAAAACCTGTTTCCTGAGCTGCAAAGCTGTCACCGTAAACATACAATCGTGCCAGCCCAAGGCTCAGGGCCTGGCACACAGAGATGCCCAGGAAATAAAAGCTGCTATTATTAGCTAAAGGAACCTTGGTGGTGTAGAGGTTCCATGTTGGACTGCTAACTGCAAAGTCAGCAGTTCGAGACCACCAGCTGCCCCTTGGGAAAAAGGAGAGGCTTCTTACTTCCATAAAGAGTTACAGCTCACTGGGGCTGTACTACTCTGTCCTATAGGGTCACCATGAGTCAGAAATGACTCGATGGCCATTAGCTAAAATATAATATCCCAAACTTCAGTCATCGCTTACCTTCTTCAAGACCTTTATACCACCTGTTCTGCTAGTTACCTAATTTTTTCTCGAAAATGGTTTATTTAAAAACATAATAAACACGAAAATAAATGTCTTTTCAAAAGAAATGTTACTTCACACCCTTAAAAGGAAATCAGTGGGGCTGGCCAGAAATAGATGGTAACAGTCAAAATAAAGACCAACCAATGATTCACAATTAAAACGTTCGTTTGTTCGTGCCCTGCCTAAAAGCATCTCGCTTGCCCATAGTGATGCATGTCACATGTTAGGAAATAGGTAACAATGTTGCAGGCAGTGGCTACAGCTTCTGGGTTTGTATCCTGTGGGATCTAGAAGCAGCCGCCCAATTAAGACAGAATGTTGCAACAAAGTAGGCCGTGCAGTGAATTACACATCCGGCTGCTAACACAAAGTCAGTAGTTAGAAACCATCGGGATAGGCATGAGGTTTCTGCTCCTGGAAAGAACTATTGTGACCTCGGAAACCCACAGGGGGAATTCTCCTCTGTCCTGGAAGATGGCTATGGGTTGGAAATGGACTTGGTGGCAGTGAGTTTGGCCCTTTGGTTTCAGAAGCACACAATTCTGGCGGTGTGCAATTGATCGAGGGAGAACGTGGTCCCTCCCTTGCTCCTCGCTTCTGGTGATGGCTGGGGACTCTTGATGTTCTCTGGTTTTCAGACGCAGCCTTTCAACTCGGCCTTCCCATT